CCCTAAACCCCTAACCCCAAAACCTTCCTGAACAGTTGGCCTCGGTGAGGCGAAGTTGTCCCAGGTGTGGAGAGACGATCCGAGGTCTAGGAAGTTGTGGCCTCGAGTGTTTAGGGTTTAACAGTTTAGGGGTTAGGGGTTTAGGGGTTTGGGGGTTTAGGGGTTTAGGGTTTAGGGTTTAGGGGTTGAGGGGTTTAGGGTTAAGGGGCTTAGGGTTTAGGGTGTAGGGTTTAGAGTTAGGATATTAAGGCTTCTTTAAGGCCTCTAGAAAGGTTCTACTAGATACTACAAGGGTAGCATAAGGTGGGGCTGTGATGCTTTGGGACGGTAGGGTTTGGGTTGAGGAGCGTGGGGCTTAGGGTTCAGAGTGCACTCTTGGGGCACTTGATCCCCTATGAATCATGAAAACAAGACATACTTATCAAGTTCCGTACGTAGGGCTTAGGATTTAGGGTTGAGGGGCTTAGGTCTACCAGAGACGGCGCGGCGAACCGCGTGAAGCACACTGGCCTTTTAATGTACGCGTACTTCCCGTCCCCGCCACTCACACTGGACCCACACACGAAGCACAACTCATAAGATGCACACTGCACCACACAATGCCTTCCGATCCGTACCCGCCCACGCAACTAGACTGGCACATGCTGACACATAAAGACAAATCCACAGTGAACCCAAAAGCTCCTTAAAGTATGCAGGATGGCTTTGTACCCAGTGCAGTCACCGTTCCGTGTGAAAAGCCAACAACAAACCCTGGGTCCTCTGCTGCAAAGCTCCCCTTCAGTGGCCATCGTCCATCATCCCACAACGCTGAGCTATATATATATATATATAATATAGATAATATAATATATATATATATAAGTAATATAATATAAATATAATATATATATATATATATAATATTTTTCTGCATCACCAAACTTCTGTCTCCCATCGTGCAGAAGCAAAACTCGAGAGGTAGCCTGGGTCCCGGACTTAGGTAGAGAAATGGGAAAGTGTCCTGCAGCTCTTGGAGGGTCGGGGTCTGCTCCAAGTAGTGCCAGGGTTGGGGCTTGCAAGCGATGCTTCTCTCCAGGTCAACGATGAGAAACCCCCGTAGAACGGCCCAGGGCCCAAAGGATGCATATCTCTGTCGGTGCGTGTGTGTGTGAGAGTGTGTGTGGGTTTAGGGTTTAGGGTTTAGGGTTTAGGGTATGCCCGTACATATCATGTGTATGTATGTGAGGTACCTACTTCAATCGTAGCTTGTATAACATGGGCCTCGAAAACTGACCATGATATCCAACCCAGCCCTCAAATCCCATGCAGCAGCTTCTCACTATAGGCTTGAAGGGATTTGAAGTGTGGGTGGGGGCAGGTCTACCTCAACTCCCACTTCAATGAACCATCTGCTTGCCAGATGGTGCTGTATCTGGGCTACGGTTCGGGCTACTGCAGCCTAGACCGCTAAACATCAAGGACTCAACGGTCTAGTCAATCTCATCTGAGTGCCACGAGTTTAAGAGGGATGGACTTATCGCTGAGAGCTAAGACTAAGAGCCTACTGACAGCAGCCAGGGTCAGGAGACATATGATCAGTCTACGACGGTCTGTCCTCTCGGACGTCAACAAAGTCTTAAGGTAGAGACTTTGAGGCTCTACATGGGATTCTAGGTATAAAGTACAAGTCCTGAGGAACTGAAGAACGCGGGCTTCGGGTACTGAAAATTTCGTCCTGCAAAAAGACGCCTCTACGATCCTACCCCTCGCGATTCTCAAGCCAAGCTCGCTACAGTAGACCACCCTGCCAAAGCGGTCTGTACTCAAAACCCTAAACTTCAAGCCCTAATATAGGGGCCTTAAACTAGAATAGGGTTTTGGGGTATACGAGCCTATAATCATAATAAGGAAGCCATCAAAATAGCAGGGGTTATATCTACTTAGAACCCAAAGTACACCCTCAAAAGCCGACCCAAAAATACGGTACCCCTTAGAAACTCTAATATAGCTTTACTCTACTATACCCAAAGCTCCTTCCAATTTATCAAGGCCATATCCAGAGCCGGGCCTGCTCTAACAAGCCACTCCGCACGGCCGACAGGACCTTCAAGATCAAATCATGACTTACCACGAGGGTTGAGGGCTTAGGGTTGAGGGTTTATGGATTTAGGGGTTTAGGGTTTAGGGGTTTAGGGTTTAGGGTTTTAGGGTTCACGGTTTAGGCATAGTAGTTCCTTTTGGGGATTGCCTTCTAGGATTCTAAATAAGAACCCCAAAAAGGAACCACTAGGGGGCCTATGGGTATACTACTATTATGGAATTAGGCCCCCAAAACCATAATAGGGATGGTCTTTTGGGACCTAATTCCATAATGGTAGTGTATATGGACCCTCTGGGTTACAGACTGTTCTAGGCGTTAAGTGTTAGGATGGGGTTCTCTTGCTAGGAGCTCGGGCAGCAAACCCATCAAATCACACAGCCAAATCTTCTCTGGGCTTGGCCAGATTGCGCTCGCTTTCACTCTCTCTGCGCTCTAGCTGAGTTTACCGTGGCAAGCAGCGTTGAAAGGAAGCTTTGTGTCGAATAAAACTCATGACTCATGGTGACAAGGTGGTCCCTCGAAGCGAGGAGCTTCTTTTACAGACCATACCCTTTTATCGACAGGCCCACTGCTTTTGACCGCCTTGCACCGGCTTACAAACCTCACACCCACCTCCTCCAGGAGACGGAAGGGATGCACATGCTCCGGAGCGTCGGCATGGAGAAAAAACGTCCATGCCTCAAGGTGTTTTTTGTTTAGGGTTCAGAGCTTTCAGTCTCAGGATCCATTTAAGGGTCTGGGATTCGGCAGTTGAGCGGTTTGGCGAAAGAGCTCTTCAAAACATCGGCCGTCCCCGCAAAAACTCCGACCGAGTCCATTACGTCGCGAAGCGAGCCAAAGCTCTCCGTGCCCTCCCGAAGCCCTACTGTTGCGGATCATAACGATTTTGACAGCACTAGCTTCTACAATCAGAGCTTTACCGACAAGACGAAGACTAGCTGCAACAATAGTCGCCCCCCCAGGGTTGTTTTGTGGATTTGGGCCATCAGCTTATGGAGTACTCGGAGGATCTTGGGACTTAGTAAGTAGGGTTATAAGTACCCTAACTGGGGTTATAAGTATCGTTACCTTGTTTATAACCTCAGCTACTAAGTCCCATGATCCTTTAAGTATGAATGAACATGATCCGTTGGATTTCGCCAAACACCAGAGCCCTGCAAGAGACCCTAAATCCCAACCCACCGACCCTTCGGGCCTCATGCAAATATTCTCCTTACATCTTATATAAACCCTAAACCCAAAATTATATAACCCCCCCCCCCCC